CCATGTTTTTAGCAACTCTGTTCCAACCAAAACACAGCCTATACAGCTAGGATATTGCTAACTAAGAGAGAAGCAGGGAGATCCAAGTGGGCTTCTTAAACATATATTTACATATGTTGTGGCAACCATTTTTGTAATAGTTTCTTTTGAAAATGAAAGGTCTCAGCCACACTTCTTGCCTATCAATCGGCATGCTTACCAGCCCCCCTCCCAAGATTGGCCTTTGGACCACAGTATAGTGTCCTCTGCTCCTTTCCTGAGAAGTATTTCATTTTCACAGCTGTGGGCTCAGTCCTCAGCCTTCAGACATTGCCACCTGGATATCAGAGCTCACATCTGTGTGGCTTTTGGCGGATTCCTCAAATCTAGTATGCCATCTTCTTCCTGCAGTAAGTCTGTTGCTTTTCAGTCAGCCATATGTTTGAGTCACAGAGAACTTGAAGGGAAAAAAAAAAACAGGTAGGTTAACTATAACTGTGGCTCATCCAGTTCATTCTAAGAACTCAGGTGACCCAGTGTCCTCCCTGCTTCCCTGCCTCACTTTCTTTATTCCTCCAGTGAAATAGACCTGGAACTAAGAGTCAGGCAGGAGCCATGCCCAAAGTGTGTGCAGAGGAGGTAGCTAGGGCTGACACCTAAAACTGTTTAGCTCTGGAATGTTATGCATGGGTACATAATTCATATGTGTGCATTCACAGAGGACCACTTGAAGAAGCACAGTTACAGGTAAGTGCAGAGTCCCTTCCTTTCCACAGAGCACACCGTCACTTGTTATGATCTTCTACCTTTTGTTCTAATCACAAGATTGATACATTTTCTGTTATTTTACCTTAAGTTCCTAATTTATAATTTTCCAAGGTCCATTGCACATAGGATAACTTATGTCAACTTAACATCTGTTATGATTATAGCCTTTTTGTAGGCTTTTATAACTTATCCCCTAGCATAAGTTATATACTAGAACTTATATTCTTGTAGTATATGTAAGTCAGTCCTATGTGACGTGTTGTGCATGTGTGTGTGGGTGAGGGAGAGAGTGAGGGAGAGCTGTGGGGGGAGGGGGATATCATGTATATAACTCCCAGGTACCACCACTCTTCTTCATGGGAAAACTACAGCTTAAATGAAATACCTTAAATGAAATTATAGTTGCGGAATGAAGGAACAATGTATACTGCTTTATTTGCAATGGGGACATGCCCTTTAATGGAACATTTGTTATTGAATATCTTCAGTGTTTACTAAAGTAGTCGCATGTTTTTTGACAGAAGCAGTTGTCACCCTTTTCCATTCCAGTATCCTGGAATGAAGTAAAAATAATAGTAATTACCAAACAATGAAGAAATAATATTCAAACATTATTTTTGATGTTTGAATGAACCTCAAACTTGAAAATGAATTTGTTGCCTACAGTATATTAATATCAATCTTAACATTACAGTTGCATAACATTCTCTGTAGCTAATTAGCTGAGGATGAGTTAAGTTTTCAGCATAGAAGTCTTTCTGGCAACATTAGAAAACAAACCAATTTGTTTATAAGAGCTAAGAATCATCGAGTGGAAGATATATTAATGTTTTTATCTGCACAATAAGCCTTTAATAGAGTGGAGTGGACTCTTCTGATTAATATTATTTAGGTTCATCTGTGGTAATTACATTTTGCTTTGGATCTATATAAAAATCCAACCTTGAAAGTACTGATTCATGATCAAATAACAAAAAGGGGGAAATAGTTTTAGATAGTGGTACTAGGCAAGGATGCCCTATTATTGGCATTTCTTTTCCTATTTAATAATTAGGAATTGCATATAGAAAGGGCAATCAGGTTCAAAAGGCATATCTGTAAGTACTAAACAAAGCTAGCATGTTCTCTAAATTAAGTTCTGCAGGCCATTAAAAAGACATGTCATTTAAATTAAGCAAATCAAAATCAGAGCTATTAGATGGAATATTGAGGACTGAACTCAATTTGTAGTATCTATTTCATAACTACAATAAATTAATTACAAGCAACTGTGCTAGTTCCAAAGATCACACAATAACTTAGCATACAAACTGAACGTGTGTACATTTTTAAAGCTGAGTCCTTAGTGAGTTATGGCATGCCAGTGCAGTCTCCCTTTAAGATAATTTAGGGTGCAATGTTTAGACATAAATAGGTTTAAATACATTTTTCTGTCTCAGCATATTCAGGATTGTACTCTTACACAACTATTTTAGTCTGGTTTTTAAATAGTTGTATGATCTGTTCTGCAGATGCCCCAGATTTTGTCTGCATTATCTTGAAAACCTTATAAAAATGCTTGAACTAGTATGTGGCAATTTGCAGTATGAGGCTGCATTGAGATAATCACAGAACAGGCTCATCATATGGAAAATTAACTGGAAAAGACTGAGTGTGCTGCTGCATAACTCTTTCCTTTGCTACCTGGGTAATGTCAGAAGCCTGAGACACATAGGTGCACTATGCAGATTCCCATGTTAGCAGTGTCCCAATGTCCCATCGATGGCAGCACTGATGTAAGAAGGAGCCACATGGACTTTTTCCATCTGGTCCAGGACTTCTTACATTACTCAAGTGGGAGAGGAAGAAACTGTTGTGCAGCAGTTACAATGTCACAAAAGTAACCTTAAATTGGGGTATGAGTCATCCTGGAAAGACTAGTTCTAGTTCCTTTCAATGTTGATTGGGACAATTACTATTGCACACTCTCATTCTTCTGTTACTTTTCAGTAGCTTATTCAATACATCTCTGCATTTAATCCTTATAACACTTTGTTTATCTGATAAAATTATCAAGTCTTTTTGGGCCCTTGGTGTGGGTGTTTGTAAATTTTCCTTGAATGTACAACTCTTTTCATCTGGTCAGTGTGCAAAGTCCTCAAAAGCACAGGGAGGCAACAGGAAGATGATGAAATAACAGATTATTTTCATGCAATTATAAAAATAGCATTTAGTTAAAAGATAGTATAAGCTTAATGCCAGGCTCAACTAGAACAATGTGTGCTTTCTAGTATCAACCATCATCAGACAAGCTTGTCAGGCTATGTCTACTACACATACACACCCTCTCTTGTCAACTTTTCAAACATAATCTACAAAGCATAGTTATTATAACAACCAATAATGCTGTCTTCTGGGATTTAGCTTGGCAGTTCAATTAATAAAATGTACACTGACCTAATATAAATATATCTGTAAAGACTGATAATTTGCCCATATGCAATTTTGTAATCATGTCATTGCAAACTAACTTCCAGTTGGAAGCAAAACCAAAGCTGTAGGATTTTGAAATGAATGTCACATTTCCCATTAAAGTTGTGTGTGTCTTCCTAATGCATTGTAAGAAAATTTAGCCTGTTCAAAAGGATATTCTTCAGTTGCAATGCAATGATGTAGTCTCAGTGATTTATCACAGATCAACTGCAAAATGCTTTTTAGTAGCAAGCACCCAAAATTGGCAGTAATCATGCTTCGTTGCCTTGCTAGGGTGGGTTTCTAAGCAAGTATCAGATGATTTCTCTGTGTAGTTATCTACTTCCATAATTTAAGGGATTTAATGTTCTAGATAATGGCACTTAACTTTAGATAATGATTGGCAATAAAACCACACCAAATATGCAACAAATGCTGTGGATTAAAATGTTCCCTGCTGTTTAGCTACAGTCCCACTGTGGGGTCCATACTTTTACTGCATTTCTATACTCCCTTTTCTGGATGCATCCAAGGGGCTTACAAAATTTCCAAAAACAAAAATTATGAATAAATACAAAATAGTAAAACATTAAACACAGCCATATGTGTCGTTAGAGACACAACAACAATTTAAAACCTTAAGTAAAAGGAAGTGGCTAAATCCCTTCCTGAATGCAGAGTGCAGTCAACATTTGGAATTCCAGAGGTAGTGTATTTCAGACTTTGGGAGCAGCACATGTGCCTGACTAGTGGGCTTCTCTAAGTGAGCTTATCTTCAGAAAGGCTTGTACAGATATTTTAATACTGGACTGCTGTGATCACAATTCTATACACTGATTAGCAGCCAAATAGCTGCATTCTGGATGCACTGAAGCTTCTGGACAGAATGTAGTATTTATCACAGTACTCTAACCCTGATGTTGCACTGATGCATGGATATACCTGCTTAGCATCCATTTACACAATGCTAACTCTGGTTCTGAACTGGGAGTAGTGTGAGTGCTTAGGCCTAAATCTACATTATTTGAGTACTATTCTATTCATATGACTGGATTTTCATCCCTTGTTCTCTTTCTCTTGCAGTCCCACACATATTTTCCAAATCTTCTTCAGGGGGTCACTCAACCCTTTGGGGGTCTTGGGAACTGTAGGGAGGAGAACAGAACTATTCCACCAGCAGTTGCTGTTCCACTGGCAAACTTGTACAAACTCTGAGCATAATCTGAAAGCACCTGCACTTTCAGCATACATAATTTTTCAGGCATTGAATGCACATGCAGTACATGCCAACCCCACTGTTTACAATAAATCCATGTTTAGACTATGTCGACCACTCTCTTCTAATTTACAGCTTCCATTATTGTGGACTTCCACAGCAAGCAGTCCGTTCATCAAAAGGAATGTGTTTTGTGTGGAATCTTTCTTTCCTCTCTGCTTTGGCCCTGGAATGCTAAAGCAGGAGTTTGAGGCATTAAAAAATTTCTGCCGTTTATTATTTTCCTTTCTGGAGTTGATTTGTCAGCCTCTGCCTTCCCTGTTGGCTGCTTTCTTCTATTCCTCTAGACTACATATCTCTACTTGGATGCTTTGTGTCTCATTCTGCCTTGCTACTTTAAATTCCTTATGACATTCTTTCCAGTCTGTTTTCTGGTAAAACTCTGTTTTATTATATACCTTTCAACATACTATTTTTCTTGACTTCTGATTAATAGCTGTTCAGGTGCATTTTTAGGGAAGGCTCCTTATTCACTGGTTATTTTTAGCAGATTTGTTTGTACCATCAGTTTCTTTTTGCTTTTCAGGTTTTAAAAATAAGTCTGCTTGGCCATCGAAAACGCATTTTATCCTCACTGGGAGACAGGCTTCACGAAGATCCACCTCAGAAACCACCACGATCTATAACCCTCAGGGTAAGTCTGGCAAATATACTTGGATGCCTAGTAAAGTCTCACAAATGAGTTTTATAAGACCAAAATGACTGCAAGTATGAAAAAGATTATTTAACTACGCATACAAATAGGATTTATAGCACTTGCTTTTGTTCATTTGTATAGGAGTGTTTAGTTTGCATTTTGCCAGCAAATCTTACTTTGAAGATTTTTTTTGCATTAAAAAGCATCACAGCTATTATTAACTGCACTAACATGTATTTGCTTGTGAACCTAATGCAGTTCATTTCAATGTTTTGCTGAATTAGGATGCCTAGCTGTATCTTCTGCATGCATTCTTCTATAAATTCCTTTGAACTTGCTAAGTCCTTTAAATTCCACATTTTTCTTGGCAAATGATCTTTTTCTAATTTGGTGTTCTGTGAATCTAGTCTTTACTTAGTACCTGAGCTACAACCATGGGCTTCTCTGCATGACAGTAGTGTGTGCTCATGTTCCCTCACAGACATTTGTGGGCCTTTTCATGACACCTGTTCTTGCTGAGTTCTTTTAGAGCAAAAGTGGAACACACTAGAATAAAAGCCTTGTGTCAAATCATGATTCCTGTCCACTACAGCTACCACAGTGGTTTCTGAACAGAATATATAGAAAGACAAATAAATACAAAGCCTGGGAATTATCTCAATGTTAAAGACTGACTTTTTCTCCTGCAGTGAAATGAAAGAAGTCCCAGTAAAACAGTGGGTAATCCTTCATGCAGAGAAGCCCAATGTAGTTTGTTAATTTATCATCCCTAGACCTTCGTCATGGGGAGACTGATCCTGTGGCCTCAGCATTGTAGGATTCTTTGGATTCCCAGTTCTGAAGCTGGAATCAGTGCTCCAATCTTAGAGTTGGAAACCAGAGTTCTGATCTGCCCCTGCCTCATTGCAGTGGCTGGAGCAAGAACCACACTGGTTGCTCTGTGATGCTGGAATAACAACCTTAGTGCAGGTTTGAAGGGGGCCTTTTGTGGGTGGAAAGGGGAACTGGAATGGCCAGGATATGATGTATCCTGATGGCGCTCCTGCCTCCTTGTTTTCTCTGGAGCTCTCCAGCTCGATGGCTAAAAATGGCTTCCTTACGAAAATAGAGTGGGAGGAGTAGGAGGTGAAGGTCACCTGTGCTGCTGCTCCTGTTCTGCATAAGAAGCACCCAGTTCTCCAAGTTTAGAAGCTTATGGGAATCCTGATAGGAACAGGCACATCCTTAGATGAGCTAATGAGTTAATATGTGCATGGTTAGGTGTATGTCTGAGGAAGAGTGCATTGGACTGGACTGTACATTACTTACAGCCAATTCCTTGGAATGTTCTTTTTTCTGAAGATTTAAGAACTTACATTTGCAAAGAGGAAGGACACGAGAGATTACTATCCACTCCTCCCTCTCCATCATGAAAAACTCTTGAAATGTAATGGATAATTTCAGTTTTCCAGCTGGCATATCATATATGTAGGCTTCTGGGACAGAAACTGATTATAGCTCCATGAAAGACTATGTTGGTAGAACTGTCACCATGCTTGCAGTATTTTTGCTTAAATGCAATGCATTTTTATCTTGTTTTCTGGCACCATGTAAAATATTGCTAAGATATAAATAAAGTTGTAGCATACCATGTTCGTAGCAATATAGAATTCTGCACATGGCTTTGAAGGAACTGTGTGTATAGCTACTGTTATGGTGAGTAATGAAAGAACCTGGAGAGCAGAAGAGAGAAATAAGGAAGATGAGTAGGACCAGTAACAAAACATTGCACTTTTGCCCGTTTTCTCTTTTTTTTAAGAGTCAGTGCCCACTGGGTGGGCTGATGAGACCATGTCTAGGATTTCCCCACCTTAAAGAGTGCCCCCCTCCCCCAAAATTGCTTATACTTCTGCAAGACTTTGGATTCCCGAAAATCTTCTGATAGTGCCATCTTATGTGAAGACTGCTTTTTTGGAACATAAGGATTAGTACACAGAGAGCTCTATTTGTATTTCTTTATTTGTAAACAGTTCTGAAAGCTAATGTGATTAATAGAACAGGTTATAAAAACCACAAATAAATAAATATCAGTAATTTTCAAAAAGTCCCATCTGATTTAAAGCAATGCAGAGGCTGCCTCAGGTTGACTCGGGCTCTTCATCCATGGAAATTGGATGATGCCTAAACAAATGTGCTTGCCAGTTATTACTGATGTGCAATTTCATGGATTGTGGTCATTTACTGTAAGGCTAGGGAACCTTTTTGGCCCAAGGGGACAAAGGCAGAGTAAGGGAGAGCAAGTTGGAGTCTGCTGGATGTGGACCCATTTCCCCTTCCAGGCACCCTTATCCCCCCTATACCACAGAAATAATCCTATGCAAGTCTGCTTTAGAGATAAACCAAGGCAATAATTTGAAAACCCACTCCATCGTTCTTGCATTAAGCAGCCCTTTCCATTTATGCTTTCAGTCCTCAACAGCATCCTATTGTGACGTTTATTCACATTATTTAGGAAGAAACATCCTGAGCAACAGTGTGAAAATTCACCCCACTGAGCACCCCCACCCCCACCCCATTCCATTCCGTTATTACATTTAATAGTATTGCTAAAAACCAGTAAGCAGGATAAGCAAACTTTACTAGCAATAGTTTCAAGGGCAAGAAGATGACAAATATCAGAGCAGCTGCCTAATTGCTGCACTGGGGATTGCAAGGTGGGAGAGGAGCAATGGAAAGAATTGATGCAAGGGACCAGGAAATGCTGAAAGAATCCATGGTGTGGGTTTTTGAAATGGATGTGCCAAACAGCAATAACTTTGAGGGCTGGATTAGAGAATCTGATGAATTTGATTTGGCTTGCAGGCCTTTCATTCTCTTGTTTTTCCCTTCCGTCTCCTCCCTTCAATGTTCTGTCATGTCAGGCATGAAGTCAACAGGTGCCATTTTCTATCTCTCTTGCTATGTAAACTTGTTATGATTTTCTGTCTCATAAAAGGGGTTGTGACATAAACTGAGTTGCACGTTAGGGTGTGCTGTGTAACTCTCCATAACTAGGCAGAAGCTTAGCAGGCAGATTTCCATCCTTCACACTCTTTCCTCCGGCAGCATAGATAAGGTGGGAGGAGCTCCAGGCTAAAAAAAAACCCCTTGAAGTGTCCCATGTCACTAGATGACTCACACTCCTTACACACATTAGCTTTGGCAGTTCTGGTACAGTAGCCCTACAATATCTCCAGCTTTGTCAGTGTAGTCCACTGCAGGATGCCTGGAGCACACCCTCTTTGGCCCTGAGAGGTTGCCATAAGAGATTCTGCAGAGGAGTTTTCCATGAGTTAATTCTGAGGGAGTGTGGAAAATTTGAGAGGAAACAGATAGAGGAAACCACAGGCGAACAGTCCCACCCTTTTAGGAGCCATGGGCATTTCAGAAACTGCTATTAGCACCAGCATAAAATGGATCATCACTTTGGCATCTGAACCTGTCATATCTGTGGAGCTTAGGCTGGGTCTTGTTTTGTGTGTATTAGTTACCAAAGCATTTCTTCCCTAAAGCTTTTTCTAATTGTGGGACTTCGTTTCAGCTAATACATCTTTGAAACATTTGTCCTGGCAATATCCAATAATTGTTCATTTTGGGGAGGAGGCTAATGCACAGATAAATATTACTCTGCAACAGTCTTTAATGCCCATAGATGTGCTTTTAAATTATTGCCTACTTTATGGAAATTAACAAATGATCAGCATATATATCTTCTCTCCACCTTTTTGACAGCTAAAAGGTTGATATTAGAACATTGGAAGAATAAACACTCATCTCCTATAACTCTTTCAATCAGTGATCTTGCAATGCTTTATTGGCCCAGGTGAAAAACCTGGTGCCATCTCTAAGTGGATACTTTTGGATATTTGGTCTGATTTTGTTGAAGCCTTTGCATAATTGCTAGAAAGTGGTATGCATTGCTTATTCATTACTATGCATATATACAAATTTGTGTACATGCATTAAAAACAGAATTAAAAAAACAAAGCAGTTTTGCAGGTTGCTAGGGTGTCACATTGGGGACCCTTTTATGAGTGCTGTGTGGGGTGCCCCTGGGCACTGGATACACTGCTATAGGGAGTCTGGATAGAAGACTCCACCTAGAGAAGACAGTGGTGGAGAAATCTGCAGCCTCCACACAGCACTGAAAGGGTAGGGCCTTCAGTATTATTGCAGTCTTGGACTCCCTATGTTGGAGATTAGGGACCCTAAACATTCATTAGCAAATGATTTATTATTTTCCATTGCTTTTCATGTGTTGGAAACTTAATGGGCAGTGGAATCCAGTGTGGCTACTCTTAAGGATTATGGCATCATACAGAGGGCAGAAGGAACCTAGAATGAATGGCATATTCAGGCTACCTAAGTCTTTTGCCCTAGAGTGTGAGGAGGTGAGACTGAGGAGATGCCAGGATGCTACGCAGGTGCCTACCTCCTCCCCCCGCCCCCAAGTGCCCACATGGCAGGTGCAGCTCTCCCTGTGTGAGCTGCACGGGTGCAGGGAGCATGCTCCAACTTTGGAGCCTGAGCTCCAATCTCAGAAGTTTCCAAGACTGGAGATGGGATTCTGAAGTCCTGTACGGCTGTCTAGTCAGCATGTAGCATCCATAGGACTGCTCCCTGAATTGTTCTTATTACATCCTTCCCTCTTTCCTATTCCTTATGAAGTAAATTCCTTTCAGGAAGTATTGTGATTTTCATTAGTGTTTTTATTTTGTTTTCATAGTTTCATATTAGTGTCTTTCTTGAGCAGATGGACTATAGTACCCATCACTTCCTGCTGCCTGGGGTGATGGGAGTTGTTGTCCCAGCCATCTGGAGGCACCAGGTTGGGGTGCTTCTGTGATAGAGAATTATAGTCATCTCAGTTACTGGATTTTGATGTCCAGGTAAGGTTCAGGAGCCACTTGTACTTCAAAGTGCACACCAGTGGTGGAATTGCTATTATCAGATCAGCATGTACAGATCTGACAGAATCCGTATGTCAGCACTTGAGACACTTCTTTACTATTGAGGATTCATTTGTGCAGGTGATTCTTGAAATTGCCATTCTTGGCTTTTCATCTTTATCATGAGGCCCTGCCACCTGGCAAAACTGTCAGTTTAGTCCTCCCTTAAACAGCTGAGGCACAAACCTCCATGTGCTGCATCCCATCATGTCACATCCTTCCCACACTTTGGGAGATGGCAAGTTAAGCAACACACACATTCTTTTAAAATAACATTTGGCTAGCTCAGCTCTCAGCCCAACAAGGTAAGAACTGCCTCTCTTCCCTTCCTCTCCATGTGATTAGATGTTCTTGGACTACTTCCACAAATGCTATCAATCACTGCCACCTCCTAGCCTAGGGCAGCAACCTTTTGGGCCCAGGGATACATCTGGGAATTTGAGAATCTCTTATGGTTGCAGCCATAAAAGAGCTGCCATGAGTGGGCATGGCTGGTCACAAAGGACAAGGAACCTTCTTACGGGCAGTCCTTGGAAATTCAGATAGAAGCCACAGGCTTCCACTTTGCTTGGAAGAATCCATGCTGCCAGGAAGAAAAGATAAAAATAATTTTAAATTAAAAAATTGGAAGAATGGAATGTTTTGCCATGGCATCTGGGAGCACACTGACACCGGTAGGCACCACATTGCTTCCCTGTGCCCTCACCAAACCTCATAATTGCTCAGAGGTTTTCATTATTGTGACTCTTGGGGTCGTCTGTCATATGGGCTTTCTGCCCCTCTGAAACCCAGGTGCCTCTCTCAGCCAAAGGGAATATCCATGCTGTCCTTTCCAGTAATTGTCATTTCCAAGGTTTCATTGTTGGCTGTTGATTCCTTGTATGCTTTATTTTCTTTTAAGTATTCTTCCTTACTCTCTCACCTCTTTAATATTCTTTTTAATAAACAGTCCTTTTAATAAGTCAGTCTGGAGTGGAGGTATGCAGTATAGCTGCATTGACCAAAACCAAGGGAGAGAGTTCCCCCCCTCTCCTGCATGGACCTCACTTAGCAGCACAATGGTGATGCTGGGATTTGTATCTGGTGGGAGGATGCAACCTCTTCACTTGCAGGGATGGATGCAGCTAGAGCTTCCCCACAATTCAGGCATTCCCCACAATTCAGATTCCTGGGGCCCACTTTCTTCAGGATTGCAGGGCAAGGAAAGGAGTGGGGGCAAAGCACCATGATGTAATCCTAAGCTGTGGGAAAGTTCCACCTGAGAGAGGAAGGCAATGGAAGTCCTGGAGAGCACACATTCTTCACAAACCTCAATGTAACAAACAGTGTTTATTTTGTGCTGTTATTTTCCCCCACAATTCTCTGCAGGAACCCAGTGGTAACCACACTCCTCCCCAGTTGTCTCCTTCACTCAGCCAAAGCACTTACACTACTGGTGGCTCACTGGACGTACCACACATTATCATGCAGGGGGATGCAAGGAGAAGAAGAAATGACAGTTACTTTGATGATATTCCTCGGTCAAAACTGGAGAGACAGATGGCACAGGTAAAGTTGGAAACTGTTGTAACTGTTGTTACAGCGGATCAGAGCTAGAGTTATAAATTTGCTGTTATTTTAAGTATATCTTTGCTAATGTTATTCCATAGCAATACATTTCTGAACTATGCTGACTTCTCAACTGAAATTGTTTGCCATATATTTTGTAATTTTTCTTTTAGCCTCTTCTACCAATGTAAAAGTATTCTAGGAGGCCTTCTCTTCTGCACAGTTTACAGTTATTTGTATGCTAGCAGGCCTGATAACGAGTTGTGCATAATATGAAAATGTGAAATCAAATTATTCTGTTTGAGGAAAATAAGATTTGCTTTTGTTATGAATGCAAAATTTATTTGTTGCAGCAGTAAATGATTCTGCTGCACCATCTTGATGGCTGGAATTTGGTTGTACAGTCAAGTGGGATCTTCTAGAAAATATTTATCTGCAGAACGCTCTTGTTCGCAATTCTGGTATGACAGCCACTGCTTTTTCTGCTGTGCCCTCTTCCATGACTCCCCTGCAAGTTCAGTCTTCATTTGCTGAACTGGGTTTTTTTGCCCCATAAAGAATTTTGTTCTGAAAACCTTTGTTTTTTTCCCAGGACTTCTTACACGTTCGTCTTTAGCCATTTGGGCTACATAAGACAAAGCACTTGTGCCCAAACTACAGAAATAGAGGGAATTGTATTGAATGCATTACTGTCAGGAATGAATCTCACAGTGTACTCCACACATGCACGGGGATGTCCATTATCATGTCAGTGGCATTATCAGTGCCACCTTGGTTTGCCAGAGGCCTTCAAACATGACAGGTGGGCTGGTTGACTGTTTTTTGCCCATTTCTCATCCATTTTTTAGAAGACACAAACTTTCCTGCATCTGGAAGCTGAATTTTGTAGAAATATCCTACCTGTGGGATTTCCTTTCCTTTGTTTTAGTAAAGTTCTCTTGGTTGACTCTGGCTTGAAACCTAGTTTTGTGCATGGTACATGGAAAGCATTTGTGAGAAATGGATTAATTTAGCAAGCTTCAAAAGTCAGTCCTACTTAACCGATACTGCAGTGTCAGCTATCATGTGAGGTTAGAAAAATAACCTTTCAGTTGAAAAAAGATCACATGATTCCATCCCCCAGTGGAGGTCCTGATGTGTGTCTGAGAGCCAGGGTTACTAGGCAGTGTTGTCTATAATGTTATTCTTTCCTACTAAGGAACTTCAGAAAAGCACAAGTCATGTTAGTTTATCATCTCTGAAACACTTCCCGGTTGTTGTATGTTTCTGTTATTTTGATTCCCTCTATGAATAAATGCCATGGGCAGTATCTAATACTGCTGCTGTATCTTCTCTGGTACTGTTGCATAACAGGGACTGGTGCTTCTTAAAGGAACCCAGAGAATGAGCAGAATTGCTTCCAAAATGGGACAGGTCAGTAGAGCTCTGTGGATCTGTACCATTCCAGAAATGAGTGTTTCTGTTCATTTCTGGCTACTTTGGAAACTGCTGGGCTCCCATTGAATTAGTAGCAGGTCCCTCTAGAATGTGGACAGTGTGAAATGCTGTCCTGTGTTAGCAGCACACTAAGTCACTCTGCTTTCTAATTGGGACAGTGGAGATTATTTTCTTTTATAGCTTTTGACAGAAATACCTGGATTAAAATTGGCTAGCATATGTTCACTCCCAAGTAGTTGGCTGTCATTCCTGCTCATAAGAGAACAACTCAAGAGATCTGCAGAAACTCATATCTGTAGTTAGGGTGCAGTGTGGGGAGTTTATAAAAGAGCATTTAGGGCAGTGTATATTTTGTTGGTGGTGTTTGAAAAATTACCAGTGTGTTTAGTAATGTTTTGTAACCTTCACTAAACCATCTACAAAACACAATTGAAAACAGTCTGTCCATTCAATCAACCAGACATAAATAATATACTGGCTACCTTAAATCAAGCATATGCTTGACCAAAAAGATACACCATATTTCATTTTAAAGGTCAGTATAGTTGAGCTTCTGTCAGCAGAAGTGCCATGGGGTGATGCATGCTGCTCTTTGATGGTGCACAGTATGACTAAAGGCCAAGTCATAAACCATGCTGTAATGCATCATGGTATACATGATGCCGAACTATGAATTGCACCCAAAACAGATGGGAGGCCAGTGCAGTTCACGAAGCATGTTAGAGGCATGAATAGCTCACTTCACTGAGCAGGCATTCTGCCCTGATAGAGGCATCCAAGTGTTTGGCATTCCCACAAATAGAGATTGATTATTTCAGCAGCAGTTCGGCCTGGTGGGGGAAAGATGTTAATGCCCATGTCATGATTTTAAAGCTGACTGCAGTTAGGATGGAAAAAAGAGCAACTGATAAGTTTTGTATGTTCATATGAACATTTTATGAATGTCAATTTGACTGACTTGTACCAGTTAATTTTCAAAGAAATAATTAGTTGATAGATGATCTTCTGGTCAATTATGTTTTCTCTTAACCTAGTGGCAGACGCAACTGGGTAATTCTCTCTAGTGTACAAGATAGTTTCAGTTAATTTTGCAGAGAAGAGCGAAGGCACAAAACAGTTACAAATTTTGGTAAATTAATTTCTAGTAAGAACACAAAATTTAAACGTTAAGCATCACAATACAGAATTAACTACAACTATTCTTTTATGTGCCACTGAATATCCCATTCATTCTAGTTCCCAGTTCTTTATTTCAGCATCTTGATGCCCCTCTCTTATTATTTCCTTTCTGAAGACATAATACTCCCCAAACATGTAAGTTTTCCTTCCTAGGGATTAGCTTAATTTAACAAAAATCTTGTGACTTGAATATAGAGGGACAGATTTCAGAACTGAGTCTATAAAAATTTGTTTGTTTATTTAAATCCTTTTTAGACCATCCCTTACCCCATGGTCTTGGGACAGTTTAACAATAAGACAAAATGGCATAAAACACAGCATCTTAATAAAAAATTATATAAAAATAAAAAACACAAAATGCAATTCTGTGCCAGTTTGTGGACTTTCTTCTGTCTTGCATAGGATTGTGTCCGAAAGCACTCAAATTGCTCCCTTCAGAGCATTTCCATCATACCTGATCTGATGCTTTGCTCTGTAAAACAGCAACGTTCCAGCACTTGACCATTTTTTAAAAACTCTGTTGGTTTAGAGTCTTCATTTGTATTTGCATTTGGCTGTGATCTTTCTTTTCCCCTGCCATCTTCCTCTGTTGGAGCACTGCCCTGAGGCTTCCTGGCGGCATGCCAAGAGAGCCAAACATTCCTTACCTGTTGACTTTCAAGAAGAAAAAGCAGGACAATCCTAGAACTTGGAAAACTTGAGCTGATTGCCTAGTGTATAAAATCTAAAATCTTCCTTTTTCTTTCTCTGGGTGAAAATAGTTTGTATTCTGTTTGTATTTTCATACATGCTTTTTCCAAGAAAATACCCTTAAGGTTTCTGTCACCCACCTTCTTCTGGATTCAATTTGAAGATAAAAGGTCATTGAGCTTGAGAAGGGGTTGTGATGACTTCATCAGCAGTGAGGAAGTGCTCAGCCAGTAAAGTTTTCACTGCACAAGTGCATGTTCAATATGTTGGAGTTCAGATTGTAAGGATGAATCCTGCTGTGAGGGATAAGTGCCAAGGCTGACATATGAGCCTATAAAAGTCCATGTTGAATGACAGGAAGGACCTGAAGCAATTGCCTTTGGAGAAAAGCACAGCTCCTGTTCATCTAGCTGGAAATTAATTGGAAAGTAGTTTGCAGTAGTTTTAGGTTGGCTGCATGTACCAGCTCATCTCAACTTTAGGGCAAATTTGTTCAAATAAAGGAGAATTCCATTTTGGTGAATGAAGTGTAAGGAAGAATCTGGATTCAGGCAAATGCAGCAGCCCTTCACTTCTTGTAATGATTGGAGCAGTCAGACGCCTTTCAATATTTGATACTATGGAAGAGGTGACCTTGTAGCCCTTTTTGAAATCAAAGTCCATTGAGGGTTTTGCTAGATCAAAACACTGAAAAGAAGGAACCTATGGGAGAATTCTCATGGCCTGACATCCCACCATGGGTTAATTTACTTGCAGGAGCTGTCAAGTGGTGTTTTCCATGGTTTCTCATGTCATGTGAACCCAAGGCAGCAGGGTTTGTTTGGTAGTCAGACAACCTTCAAATCACACATGGGTTGTTTTAGGGTTATATTGGGTCATCAAACAACCCTGCTGCATGATACAACAGCACATGAAAAGTTGGGTGGCTATGGGAAACATGCAAATATAGTGGCTATCAGCACCCAGCTTGAGATGACAGTGTCTTGTGGGTAAATTAACTGGCAGGGTCTGTTGTCTATGTATTAGCTACCAGAAGGTGTCACAGTATACATGTACTGACCTCCATAAGAATGCCTCTGAAATCTTTTAATTTCTTTTCCTTAGCAAGTTAGAAAGGAAGGGTTCTCCATATAGAGGGTCCTAATTTTTTAAAAAGTATCAGTTGGAAGGTTGTACCTCAGCAGAATCCTTCTTTACATAGAATAAAATTAATAAGAAAAACTACCCCACAATAATGTGCATATCATTTATTTCTTTGCAACTTCTGTTGATTTCCTTGTGATAGAATATATTAAACAATTTGAATGCATGTGATTATTGTTTGACATGGAACAATACACTGTATTTCTTCAGTATTTGTTAAGTAGTACCTTCCTAGGATGGTCCCGTAGCTTGAATACACCATTTCTTCAAATCAGTAGATAACTCTTCTGACTTCTTTGAAACATTCAGATTCAGTTGAATAGACTTGCCTGCACATGGTTGAATTGGAATTTCTTAGGATTAAAATAAAAAAGATATTTAAATTGTCACTGATTCCTCAGAATGTCATACCCTTACCTCTCTCCTTACCCCACTCTCAGTGATCTGGCATACTGTAGGCATGAAAAGATTTTCAGAAGCCTAACTAATCAGCCCCAATACTTCACATTCTCACAGCTCCATTGAACACTGCGAAGTAGTGCTGAAAGACAAGATGGTGTCCCACATGGAAAGAGTTCTCTTTAGGCCGATCACTAACCATGTGTAACTCTACTCCTCTATTTATTTATTTATTTATTTAACAGTTGTGCCAAATGAACCACTAAGCAAGCATTTTTTGTTCTTTCATGTATGTGTGTTCTTAGTTCATTATCAGTTTTTAACCCACAGCTTTTCTTAAGGCACTGCACCTTTAAAATACTTGATTCTTAGGTTAATTTTAAATGTCTGTGTGAAGCATGTATAGGCAGATTTGGGAGAAAGGAGACTATTTCAAATCCCCCTCATATTATTGACTTGTATCTAGGAGATATAGTGCATTACAGTCAGACCTAGTAAGAATGAGGAGGAGTTGAACTGCTACTGCCTTGCCTTGCAGGTATTGTGGCAACTGGTAGAGTTAGATATGAGAGAGAAGCTCTTGTCCTGTATTCAGAGCTGCTCATATTCTACACTTGCACCACCATCTCAGTTTGAGGTGTAAAATGGCATGGTTCTATTTCCATACATTTCTCTGAATTCAGTAGGTTAGAACCAGCTTCCTCTTAGTTGCACTGAAAGCTATGTGAAAGGTTAGTTATAGGAGTTAGTTATAACTCCTATTTACTTCAGTGAGAACTATGTGCAGGTACGCAAGCTGAAATCCAATGCTATATTTGTAGAATTTATATTCCTTGGAAAAGTAGAAAAAAAGAAGGCCTGAGATAGGCAGTTGAGTAAAAACATGAGGAGAGGTATGTGCCTAAAGTTTAAGGACCAAGTACATGCTTAAGGACCAAGTACATATAGCACTCAAAGGAATTCATTGTCCAGAATATTAGGCTGCAAGTGTCTGTGAATGCACTTAGGAGGTGAGTTTGAATAGTTCTGTATTTAAAGCTAAGGATACCAACATCAGACACAAGTTTGATGCGAGCATCTAGGCCTGGACATTGATTTTGAAAATTGGTTGAGGTTTTATTATTAAGCTGAGATTTGGAATGTATAACTAGAATTTCAGATAGCATTAAAGTTATTTGCTAACCTGTAAGTGTTAGCAAGAAAGCCAGTGCTGCCTGATTTTAATAAAATACTAGACAAGAATCTATCACATTCGCATAAATTATCTTTTTTGTTATGCTGTTGTTTGGAAAGCAGGTGTTTCTTAGAATGCTTTTTCCAGAATGTTGCAAAATGATAGGGTCTTTTTTCTCCTGTCTTTTACAGCTTTTTTTGTATATATATTAGGAAATGGCTACTGTACTTCTTCCTCATTGAGCTATTTGGATTACGTATTAATAATTCTTAAATTCAATGCTACTTGCCTCAAATTCAGTCTAGCCTTAGCCAGTTTGATAAACCTTTTTGTTTCTCCATTTACAAATTAGACTGAGGCATAAAAATATTCTCAGGGTAGCTATGAAGATTGACTAATTGACTAAAAGTCTGGACTCAACTTTTAGGGACCAGGGCTTCCTCCCAAAGCCCTGGTCCCTAAAAGTTATTGAGTCCAGACTTTTCCTATGATGTCCCAAAACACTATGTGCCACCATCTGCTTTGTAGAAAATAGTAGGACACTCACCTTTAGTTATTAGCATGTAAGTTGAGATATATGCCATTCTTCAAATCTATCCAGACCTGCATGAAGTTCTTAAAAAAAAAGCCAAGGAAATATTTATTTCACAGGTCAACATTCAGAACTAACAGTAACTGGGTGCACTGGCACCACTTCAGTTCCATTTGAGTTGCTTGAACATGAGTAGAACTCTTTTCACAACTGGGAACCATGCTAAGGCATGAGGGGTGGGGAAGGAAGCATCGAGCACAGCTCCCTGGGCATCACAATTTAAATCTTGTTGCCCCCAGTCTGAGCTGTATTTTAAGTTGCATCTGTTTCAGTCCTCTCCTAAAATTCTATCTGGAATTGCTAGCTTGGTCACAGTTCAACTTTTGGCACTTTTATGCAGAACCACTTTTTGTATGTGTTACATACATTTCCTATAACTAGTGGAAATGACAAATGACCTCTATGTTAGAACCATTTTCATCCATACAGTCCAGATTTTCTGCTGTGCCACGACTGTTTTCTGTCCACTGAAACATTAACAGACATAGAACTAGTTAATGAGTAAAATAAGCCTTGGGCATTAATGTAGTCAAATGGAATTAACTTCAGAATGCCACTAGGTCTTTTCTGGGAATGTTTCAAATCTCTTTAAACATCCCTCTTAAAACAGATTTGAAGCTACTATCATAGGTAGCTTTCTGTATCCTTGTAGTAGCATCCTTTGTCAGGAAGACATACTCTGAGGCATGCAAAGTACCTTTTTTGTGCTGATATAACTCTTCTCTGGTCATGTGCTGCACTGAGCACATCTGCACTAATAGAAGGAATAGGTAGGGGAAAAAAGTCTGCTTTGCAGTGGTTATTCTGACATTTTTCAAAGCCTTAAGGCTATAATGGCATAATCCGAACTGTTTAGATCAGAAGAACCATGCAAGTGAAGGTTATTTCCAAGCTTCTCCCTCCCTTCAAAATGGCATCACACCATTGGCATGTGAGAAGGAGAGGCTGAGATGCTGCCAGGGTACTTTCTATCATGGTGACACTTGTCTCCTCCTTCCCCTGGAAAACCTCCTGAATCTTATCTCTGAGAATGCACTTCCAATTTTGGAGTGTGGTTCTCTCCATACCAACTCTGAGGTGGAGAGCATGCTCTGACCTTAGAGCACTTTTCTGACCTTGTAGCTGGGTCTCCAAAAAACCTATGGCCATCTAGGCAGCATATAATAGCCATGGGGTTCTGCTGCCCTTGGAAGGTCATCATAGCTCCATTATGAAATTGCGCTCTTCAAGTGGCCAAAGGTTCTTATGTAGGGTAATATTTCTCACTCTTTCTTAGGTACCACAAATGCAGTTGTTAGGTTATGCTCTTTTTATTCTGCGCCCCTTGAGAGTATCTCTCATGGGTAGCTATTTTTTATCCTCAGGACTTTTGTCATCTTGCCCCTTTCATGCCTGGGAGGCCTATAGGCTATTTTTCACATTTGTCCAAACTGCAACTATTCCTTTGACATAAACATACTGAGGAAGCACCCACTATAATGGTCTTGCATTCTTTGTGAGGGTGAACAGCACACTTAATTAAGGTTTCTATGTTTAGAATGCTAATATGAAATTTCGGCTGACCTGATTGTACAGTGCAATGGGTTGTGACCATTGGCAGCCACAATGGTGGCTACACTGCACTTTGCTGCGGTGCACCTTCTAGGACCGAATAGCAGGAACTCTTTCTGGGCAGTTTGAAGAAGGCGACCTCCACTGTAGGTCCTTAGAGTTTTAGTAATGATAGAGCCCGTCAGTTGGCGTGAGGCATCCAGATTTCACAGAAGGAAAAATAAGAGCAGTAGTAATTTTCTTGCAGGAAGCTGCGTCTCTTTGAACGTAGGCTTTATTTAGACACCAATATTAAATTCCTGCTGCTTCTCTTAACTGCTGGCTATGCTCTGCATCTGTGGTTAAGCTATTGATGTATTAATTGCTAGGTACTCCAGAGATTGTAGTTGCATTTCTCATCTGTTTAAAGCCTTTTATTGTTGCCTGCTCTGGAGACTGTGGGTAGCTACTACATCTGGTGCTTATTTTAGTTGTTCAGCTACTATGGACTATTATCTTGGATTATTTTTTTTTGTGGTGTCCAAATAAGGAAATATATACCAGGTGTTGTCAGATTATACTAATTTGATTTTCTGTTACCTTTGTTTTAGTAGTTGCACTGGGCATTTTGTTTCCTTGGCTATTTCTGTATTGCTAGACGCAAGTCCACCGATGCAATGAATTATTGAATGTTATTTCCTTAGTGGGATGGCAGGATATAAATCAAATTAATGAATAGATTTATTTTGACTTAATAAAATTTCCACCTTCCAAATTACTGTTGAAAAGAAGTGATGATTGTTACTCCATTTTGCACAATCTTCGCTAATTACTGCAGCCAGTAAAGTGTTGGTCCACTTTACCAAGCTCTGCTGCCTCTTCAGAGGTTTTGCAACGATGTCTTTCAAATACCAAATGTACAAATGCCATTGATGCTAGTGCTTGCTACTCAGCAGTGACACTCGTTTATCATGCTCAGTATTGGTTTATTTTGGCTTTTTCTTCCAATGTAATTTACATTTAAAACATTTTCACCTATAGGATGCACATCAAAGGCTAATATATGATTGAAAGACACCCACTTTTTCTTTTCTGCTATTTAGTTATACTTCATAATTATAAAATGGTGATAATAGTCTGAATAGATGTGAAATGCATTTGCATTGAAACTCTTCCATAATGTCTTCTTATAAGCCCAAAAGTTGCTACTTCAGCAAATATATTAAATGGGATTTTAACAGCTGCTGCCAATTTAAATCTTTCTCTTTTAGATCCTGCTGTCATTTTGCCCCCATGCCCTGGGCACACTGCTTATTCTTCCTGGGCTTGGGAATGGTTATTGTATTTTACTATTTACAAGATGAGATGTAGTTTTCTGTTTATATTAGCAGTCTTCTGTCTGTGAGATATGGACCAACCAGAATGCAGGATATCCTTACTCAGCAGTCCATCAGGTTCATAATGTAAGATACTTCAATAAATGGCTACATTGTCACTGTATTCCTGTTCAGTGTGTTTCCTTGGTGTTGTTAATCCTTGAAACTGGTATTGTGCTTTGCAGACTTCAAGAAGCAATGTGTTGCATCCAATAATTTCCAGGATTCTATGTGTTTATACATTCATTTTCATACTGTGCAATGAGCGTGTTGGTTTTTTTGTGTAACTGAGTGCAAATTTTAAAGCTCCAGTCTGATTTTTTAAAGCTGTCATCTTTATTTCTTTATCACCTGTGTTGCAGGTGATTGTCTTTGTTCACTTTCAAAGACAAAAAGAAGTATGAAATACATAAATTTGTAATTTCATGCTGTTTTGTGCCTTCTTTGTGATCAAAAAGGATCTTCTCTTTAATTTCTCAGGGTGATTAGCCTCAGTTTTAAAATGCTTCAAGTCACTTCAGTGTGTACTCAGTGTGTCCTGGGTGGCATCTTGTACTTCTTCATTTCCAATCTGCAGTTATTTTTAGACACAGGAAGTATCTTGGAGCAATGCCCTTATCACATGAACTGCATTTTGAATTTTAACTTAAGATCACCTTTGTATGCCACTTCCAGAGGATATTAAATGTGTAATTGCTTCCTAATGCAGCTGCAAAGTAGACCCTTATTCTCCCATGAATTTCTTATCATGTGCATACTTTTTCCAGTGGAAGTATTCATATTACTGTCACAAGATGAAGCTCATGATGCAGCTTTAATTGCAGCCCATCTTTGCAACAGCAGGTGAAAAAATGCCTAGCTCCCTAGACCATCCAGAAGAACCTGAGCATCTCTTTGCAGTCGTGTTGCTGTTCTGCCTACCTAATAAAGAACTGCTCTGACAGTTTAATAAACAAGCAAACAAATTATACAACAATAAATAGACAACTTTAAGGACAATTCTGCTCAGATTTTAGATATGTGAGAGGAATGAAGAATACCATCTGAACGTATTCCTTCACTTGCCTCCTCCAACTGTTAGGGGAAGATGTAAGACAAAGATGGGAAATGTATGGCTCTCCAGATGTTTTTGGCCTCTAACACTCACAATCCCTCATCATTGGCTAAGTTGCCTAGGTCTGATGAGATTTGCAGCCCACTAACATGTTGAGGGCTATGTATTTCCTCCTTTTGATGTAAGGGACATGGGGCCCAGAGACCCATTAGGGCAGCCAGCTGAAATACTGAATCATCTTAGGGAGAGACCTGCAAGTGTCCTGCCATTTCTAAGACAGATGTGTAGGGTAGGTTTTTCTTCTTCTCGTGCACAACTGCCAAAGGAGAGCAATGACCACACCAGCCCTTGGGCTGATTTACAGTTAATTCCCTCATCTAGGGAGAGGCAGGAATAAGGAGGCTTTGCATCTTGGCAGATCCATGGCATACCTGACATGCCTCGACTTCCCTTGCACAGTTGGCAGAACACCACCAGGGGTACATCTACACCTGGTGAACCCCATAGCCACACCAGGGAACCATCAGTAGTGTAGCTGTTGTCCCACCAGTCATCTCTTTCTCCCTAAGTTAGACTGGCACATAAGTTGCTTCCTCTCAGATGGAGTGAGCTTAGTTATACTCCCTAAATAACCTGAAAAATAATTATGATTTATGAAAATTTCTCATTGAACAATGGAAAGGAATGATCTATTTTGAATTAAATTAAATTTCAGCTGAATAAAAAGATTATTGATTGTATATGCAACAAAGAGCATCCTTGCAATCAGTAATTCCCACTTTATTAATGAAACATGGAAAACGTATTTTCAATAATTGCAGAGAATATTTTCCAAAAAAAATAACAGCAAAAATGATCCAACCAAAATTAAGCAGTTTTAAGTCCTAATGATTCTGAGGGTAGAAGTTGGTACTTCTTTTAATACCTCCTGGTTAAAGGACTGGGATTTAAATGTAAATGGTTGCCTGGTAACAGATATGGAAGGCAATATTTAATTGGCTTCAAGACAGGTATTTCACCACAGCTATTCCTTTGTATTTTACTCTTGCCTCTTTTTAATTTCTACTGATTTAATTTAAAAGAACTATATTGTGTATTATACATACTCCCTGATCTGGACATTTTTTTTCATTTAACTATGAGTGTCACTTTCTAGTTCCTGGACTGAGAACAGCTAATATAGATCTCTTTGTAAAATATCAAAAATGTGAATAGTGTAAACTTATGTAACAATGGGATTCCATATTCATTTGTCGCCATGCATCCTATGCAAAATTACACACTCAAGTGGGCCAGGAATCACTGAAAATCAGAAACCTGGGAGGACTTTGCATTGTGCCCTTTGTTTTGTGGCTGCTCCAATGATAGGTTATACAAAGATGCTTCACAATTTTTGCTTTTGTCATTTCTTTCTAATATTAAGTTTTCTAAAGATTACATTTTAATATTATGCTCAGCATAAATTTTCTTACACCAGGATTTATTTATCCTGTTAATCTTACTTGAATCAAAGCTTTAATAGAAGCAGATACCAAGAGCTAAAAATAGTTTTGACAAGCTGAGCAGTGTGGTGGAAGAAAGTGAAATCTCAGCATATAATCACATTTCTTTGAGTGACATCAATATAATTATGTTAATAAATGGGCAAGGAGGGTACAAACCTTTAATGTTTCTTGTCAATTACACTGAACTGTCATTTTCTCTAAACAATGTTCACTCTCAAAGGGCACTGCAAAGTCAGAAGTACTTTTCAACCTAGTTGATTTCAGGGGAAAAGTTAAACATGTACCTAAAGGTACTTTTCCTTGAGCTAGATTGTGCCCAGCATTCAAGTGTGAACCACAGATCTGTGAAAAGTTGATGGACACTTCATGTGGTTTATATGTTTGCCATGCATAATTGAAACTTGCTATGGTGAATAGTGTCCATGCCCAAAAGGGAATATTAAAAATAAATAGGCTCCTCATGCTAGGGAGCCCTGGCCAATCCCTCCACTAAAGACCCTCTACGTGCCCTTGGGTGTTGTGAGACCTGTGCTTTTACAGGGTTCACTAAAGAAATACCAGCGCACATGTGGCACAGCTATTACATAAAATGTGAATATGTTCTGCATTGGAGCATTTTTCTTACACTGACTTGGATACAGCTGGAGGCACCTTTGCTTTCCCTCCTTCCCCCTTCCCCTGGAGAGCGCCTCCAACCCTAAAAAAAAAGAGAGAGAAGAAAATGACAGACAATCTTTTGGGAGAAACTGCTGAAAGGGATAGGCTGTGCTATGCAGGAAAGGGGGATCTTTGGAATTCAGGTGCCCAATTTTCTGAGACTGTTCAGCCTAGCACCATTCAACACTTCCTCTGTGTAGTACTTTGGGTGCTGTGGGGAAGGAGCATTTAATGCTGATATTGCAACAAGATATGTGAATGAGTTTGAACACTTTAAAACTTTATATAAATGCCAAGTGTTAACTATTACATTATTAATCTCTACCCAACTGACAGACGTTCCACATCTGCAGAAAGACTTGCATCTGCTGAAAGACTGAAGCATCCCAGTCAAAGCTATGCACATGCCCTATTCCTTCCAAAAAAAAAAAAAGCCCTGCTTTCAGAGAAGAGCTAATGCAGGAATGAGCAACATGCATCCCTGCCCTTTTCGCTGTTCCTCACCACTGAATTAGCTGCTGTGGGGGCAAAAAATGATTCTATTCCACAGCAGGGTGTGCAGGAAGTATGTACCTTGTTTGGAAGAATAATTATACTTCCAGGAGCACACTTCAAGTGAGGTCTGTGCTCTCACATGCCTTGTTTAGAAGCAGAATTACCAGGTTTTTGCTGCTACATCCCTGAATTTTGGCAACGCATTTGGTGGCGGGGGTGCTCTGGATCCCCAAACCTGGAAGCTGCCCACTGTGAACTACAGTATGAATTCTTGCAAGAGGCCATTCCAGACAGCTCCAAAACGCTTTTAAAGAAAAGCACCATGTGAACTACATTACTGTCAGCTTTTGAAGAATGTCAGTAATGTTGGCACAAAGTTGTTCTTGGTTGTCTCGTTTCTGCAAATCTGCTTCAGTTTCCACTTGGGAAGGTTACTAAATTTCAGTGCCTTCCAGTTGACTTTGTGCTTATCATTGTAGATCTGTACTAACTTCTGTCTTGTCATTATTGTGTGCCCCATGGAAATGGATGTATAATGGTTATTTTGTTTGCTCTCCCTCAATGGAAAAGTAAAATGGTACTTTATTTGTCTGAAATTTTCTCATACACATTCAAAACCTTTTTGATTGTTTTTATTATATCTTATTTCTCAAGTTTGTTTCTAATTGTTAGAAAGTTTAACGATTCTGCCCAACCCCTCTGAGAATCAGTGAGCAAAGGGCGTGGTTGGGTTCCTTGCAACCATGAAAAATGTGGGGTGCAACTCTAATAAAAGCATTTTGAATTGTGACCACAGACACCAAAGAAGCAGATAGTGACTAATTGTTTAGAGGTAGTTTGAAATTTCATGTCATGTATAGTTTAGAAAGTCCCTTCCAAAGGGAACTTCCATTTAATCCATTCAAATGTCTCTTCCCATCTCTAAGAATATTAATTTATTTTTAAGCACCATGGATGTCAGTTTGAGATAATAGACTTGTATTCAGATCCTAATCATGTTTACTTAGAAGTGAGTCCCATTGATTTCTGAGGGATTTGCACATAAGCAAGTGGGCAGAGGGATGAGTTAAGGCTCCAGTCTATGCAATCTAATAGGTCTAATTCCACTGAAGAAAGTAGGGTTTACATTTGAGAACAAATACACAGGTTGTGCAGCTGTAGTTTCACAGATCTGGGTGAGGATCCTCAGTTTCAGGGCCAAAGGCAACCTTCCTGACATCCCAGTGCAGCCTGTAGGGGCCCCATCTCCCTTTCCCTTCCCATCATTCACCCCCACTGGTGGTTCCTCGACTTTTCTACAACTCCCTTCTCCCTGATTTGAAGAGGTCAAAATGTCTTGGGGTTTGGTAATAGCAGTAAGAGCTTTAAGCTAAAGTAGACTGATATTTTTGACTCTACCCATTCCAAAATGCAGCCCCTAAGACCATCTTTTAAATTGAATTTGGCTGTCATGCTGAAAGATGTTCAACATTCCTGGATAGGATGAGGCTGTTAGTTCAACTTTCCTTTTTTACCCTGTTATCTGAAACTTCTAGCTAGTTGTTGTATTCTGTTTGTTCTGTACATGCAGTGCTTTCATTTAAGTAATATAGGCTTATCTGGGACTAGCTAGAAAATTCAGATTAGAAGCTCAGCTGTTGCAAGAAATGCCATCCATGTGGCAATCTTTAGTTATTTTTTGACACATTTAGTAAGTAATATGTAACCCATGCAATTTGGCTGCACCCAGAGAAAGAGAATTTTGAAGAAACTAGTTTACTCCTTTAGCTTACTTTGCTTTTGAAATGCAATTTTTCAGACTGGAGACTGGGGTGAGCCATCGATTACTTTACGACCTCCTAATGAAGCAACAGCATCAACACCAGTACAGTACTGGCAGCATCATCCTGAGAAACTCATCTTCCAGTCATGTGATTACAAAGCATTTGTAAGTTGCCAAATCTCTGTGTCTCCTTTGAGACTAATTGAAAATTGCCAATTTTAGGGGATGTCTCTCTCTCACACACACACATTTACTTAACAGAGCTGTGAATATAAGGACTTCCTTGCAATTTCAGTGAAAGAATTCAGAATGTTGGGAGCAGAATTCAGGTGAAATTGCTTTCTTTTTCTTTCAATATATGAGAAGTTACAGGCATTACTCTTTATTTAAAAGGAAGCATCCAGAGACACTATAAAGTCCTGAAAGACATATGGACGTAACAGTGGTGGATGGACATAACAGCCCTGATGTATCTTGTTCGAGAAGAACTTCTGGTTTACAATTGATCAGAAACAGAGACTAGGAAGTTTATGAGCAAAGCATAAGGGCTGCAGCCTGTCACTCTCATTTATCCCTTCGTAATGCTCAAAGCACACTGCCTCTGCACACAGAAGTTAAATTTAGCTTCTTGTGGATAGACTTTCCCTTCATCATTTTCTTCAAGCCACATCTTTATGCAAGCCAGCAGCCATTACCTCATCATGCCATGAATACATAAGTTTTATGAAGAAGTTCCTTGGGGTAGGGGTAGGGTGCAAGACTGTTGCAAGTCACCTTTACCGCAAACAGCCCTATTGGTATTTCCAAAAGTGGTGTTCCTAAGAATGTCCAGTACTTGATTTTCTTAAAGCCTTAAAGGATCTGTTAAATCTACTGTTCATTAATAGAGCAGATTAAACTCTAAAGGGACCTATTAAAACCCCTTCAAATCTTGAACAGCATGATATTAACATGACTATACAGCTTTAAAAAACAAAAAAACTTTTCAGTCTCTTTAAATTATACTGAAACTCTTTATACGTTATACAGTATAATAATGTTGAACTCTATGCTCCTGAACATTTTGTACATTTTGTATATTGAGCTAAGGCACTGTTTGCTGGAAATGCAATGATGAAGCAGAACAAATTATTATCTGTTTGTATGACCGGCATCTAGGTACATAAGAAGCTTTTCGTAGCAAAAACTGCAGTTACAGTGTATGATTTTAAAGTAAAAGGTACATTTTGTTTCCTGTTACATTTTTCTTAAAGATGAATTCTGCTGTTATTTCTCTCTTTTAAATGTGACAAGTCTATTACTTGCTGGAACTATTAATACATTAGGTTACATATTTAGTTGTCCTTGAAGATTTGCTTATTCTGTTTATAATTACAGAAAAAAATTGCTTCTGTGTTTAAGTATTTAGGTTCTATGTTGGTAAAAGAGCTAAGAGGAACAGAATCAACGCAGGATGCCTGTGCAAAAATGAGGGTGAGTGAATTGATTCTTTTTCTAAAGTTAGAGTTGTATGTAAGAAAGAAGGCCTGTGCTGGCTGGGACGTGTAGGCTGTCTTCTGTCTTAAACTTGCATGGTAAATGGACATAATGCATAAGACTTGGGTCTTGGGTCTATAAAACTCACTTCCACAATTTTTAATGTTTTAATAAAATTATCAATTAGATCCCACCACTAGGAAATGCTGCTTCTGCTATGAAACTTTTCCAGAGTTTCCTCCAAAATAAATTCTCCATACTTGGTTCTTGTGGTGTAGGCATGGGATTGATGCTACCACTTGCAACAACCTTTCAGAATGAACAAAAAATAGGATGATAGTTAACATAAATTATTTTCAAAGGCAAATGAAAATCTGATCTTCAAATGTTAGTGCAGGTGTGAGGCACATGGATGTGATCTTTGTCCCCTCACTCCTGTCATCCTGCAGGTCAGCTAGATCAGGGGTGTCCAACCTGCAGCCCACAGGCTGCATGCAGCCCAGGATGGTTATGAATGCGGCCCAACACAAAAAACATAAACTTACTTAAAACATTATGAGATTTTTTTACAATTTTTTGTAACACGATCATGCAGTTTTCAAGCATGTACTTCGTAGATAACAATGTTGTGTTGCAGTGTCACGTAAAATAAACATGCATATGTTCTCGCTATTTGTACGCATGCGTGGCTTCAGTTTTACAGCTGTGAGCAGCTTCCAGTGTGTTGTCTTCCAAGTGCAGACAGTCAAATTGACACCATCAGACATTACATGTGCTCATGGTGACTTGGCAAGTGAAACACAGCTATTATCAATAATCTTTCAACCTACCGTTGCAAACAATTTTATATATCTCGACATGTTGCCAGTGCTCATTGGCAATCTGCCTGCAGCAGATGGAAGCGGAAGTCCAAGGTATCGGAAGGGCACCTGCTTCAGGCATTCCCTTCATAATCCATGAAGGACGATGAGACCCAGCTTGTGGGTCTAATTGGTCCATGAGGCTTGGACCTCTGAAAATAGTTTTTGTCACTGATAGTTTCCCAACTCAATGAGAATAGATGGGAATAAAATGATCAACTTACTGGTATAATTATTTTGATCTGTTTATACCAATTGAATTTAAGCTTGGGTCACAATTTATTTCAATTTTTAGTTTCTGTCCACAGAGAAGTATAAAAAGCTGATATTTAGATTTTGGAAGGTATAGAGAAATTATAGAAGCAGGTTCTGAACTAAAAAATGAAAGCACTCCTGAAAGGTGTTCCAAAGATGTCATTAAATATGTGAAACGTAACCTAAATCTTTCTCATTAGAGAGTCTGAATATTCTTTGCTGGAGTTCAAACATATTATTATTATAAAAAACAAGCCGGAAAATTGTTGGCACTTCAACTCATGGCTCATCAAGCTTAATGCCTATCATTATTCTATCTAATAGTGCAACTTGACAAATAACATAAGAGTTTCTACTTTTTAATGGACTGGGGTTAACTAATAATTTTATTCTTTTCATTGTCCTACTGGTACATTGATTTGGTTTTTTAATTGTGGTTTTCATTTTTGTGTAGTGTTTTGCAGTTTATCTGGCAGCATCTTTAAGGATGCAAATTATTACAGTTAGAAATAAATAAAATAAATAAGGCTCAGTCTCTCTTGCAGAAATTCTTGCTAGGAACTTTATCACGAAGGAAAAGTAACTCTGGAAGTGTCTGTAAGGCCTGCCTGATGGAAATCTGCCTGATAAAAGTCCTTTCTGGGCAGCAGCAGTGCTTCCTGCTCTGGTGGTTTGGATCCCTCTCCTTCCTCAGAAATGGATCAGAAAGTGATGGGGTGCAAACTAGGATGGGCCTTCTTATTTTCCCTCCAATTGAAACCAGTGGTAGGGAAAGTAAAAGGAAAAATTGGCACCAGAAATGAAGAGGAGAAAATGTATCCTCCAATGTTTCTGCATAACTGCAGCTAACAAAGTGTAGGCCTACAGAGTTTGTGGCTCATCGCTGAACTCATTTAGATATCCAGAAAGTACATGGCAAGTTTCCTTGGCTTATGGATTTAAAGCTGTGTGCGCATGCAGGGACTGAGCTGCTGTCCGTTTCTTCCCTTCTGCTAGGTTTCAGCTGGCTGTTTATGTTTTTCAAAACTCTCTGCAACTTGCTTAAGGAAAAGTAGCTCTGCAGGGCTCCAGTGTAAAGACGCTTAGGACTGCTACTTAGGGCCCTTTTGCAAACTGAAGACAAAAGGTGCTAATTATAACAGATATAATTGTTTCTAGGTACACTGTAACTGAGTTTGCATGGCACAGCAACCCATTGTTGGGGTGACAAGCCATGGTTGATTGTTTAATGCAAATCAGAATCTGTCACACAGGGTGGCTTGTTTGAGGGCAACAAGCCACACTGACAACCAACCCATGGCATGTAGTAGGAGTTCTTGGATTCACCAAGTATTGTCATGTCATTCAAACTTGGGCAACTGACCCCACTGTAAGCTCGAGAAAGCAGGTAATGAACAAGAACAAGACACCTTGCCAGTGTTGCTGAGCTTACCAAGGTTGAGCTTACCTGTGACCTCCTACTGATGCCCAAGCAGCATGGAGGAGTGACCATCATTGGTTTGGTGTCCCCTTGAAGAACACAAGTGGGGGTTTTTTTGGTTTTGGGTTGGTTTTTTTGCTTTTCTTCTCCTTACCATTCCTACTTGCTTCCGGGAGTTCACTTTCTGCCCAAGTGCATCCTTTTTGCATGTGTTCCTGCAATGTGCAAGTGTTTTTTTAAGGTAGTGAACCAAGGACAGCCCCTGAAATATCCTTTTTTGGGGCATTTTTGAGGGGCTGTCACTCATTATCAACTCACAGAGCATTAAAATGATCTTTAAACTTGTGGGGGGAGCCATGGTGAGCAAAAAGGGCTTATGGTGAGTAAGGGAGTCCATGGAGATACCAGTGGATTTCCAGGATGGAAGCAGTGGGGACAGCCTATGATGAGTTCAATCATTGGTTGAGCACATCACAGATTGTTTCATGTAGCTTATTCACAGGGTGGGTTGTCATGTCATACAGTCACACTGTGATGGAGTTTTGTACAGACATTGTTTAGCAAAATCAGCTTAAGAAAGAAATCTGGTTGGTGATAGTATTTTCTCTGTGACTGTTTGTCTGCTGTCACAAACACTGTTTACCTGTGACATCTTAGGATGTGGGAGCTGCCTTAACCCTGAGTCAGGCTCTTGGCCCTACTAGTCCATTGTTGTCAGCACTGACAGGCAGTTTCAGACAGGTCCTAGCTCTGCTCTTAGTGACACTCTCTGCTACAGCAAGATTTCAAGTGTCTACAAGCAGAATGTTGTTGGGCAGCAAATACTGGTATTTGTACGGCCATTGGTGAACAATCAGGTAAGTACATATAAAGTAATAAAATTGCAGATTTATAATACCAAACATCTTAAAAAAGCACCAGAATACATAGCATTTTGTAAAGTCACCGGCTACGTTAATACCCAGGTAGGCTGTTTTGGCAAAGCAAACCATTTTTGTTTTATCCTCTTATTAGCACTTGGACGTTTCAAAGTGTGTGAGCTCAACCTGTGCTCATACAGAGTGTCTGCAGACATGTCTGTTCATGATGTAGTCCACTCATTTTCAGCGAAAGGATATTAAAATATGTAATTAAGAATACCATTATTTCCTACTCCTTGCAGATGCAGGTAGTCTATTATTACCTTGGGAAGAAAGGATATTACAGACAGATATGGTTAAATATACCACATTCTTGTTTGCTTTTAATTTCAGAAATCTACAGAACAAATGAAAAAAGTCCCTACTATTGTTTTATCTGTCTCTTACAAGGGAGTAAAATTTATTGATGCAACAAATAAGGTAGGTATTGTTTGATTACTCCATTTTTTTATAATATGTGGCTGCTTTTTGGTCATAGCCATTCTTCCAGTGCTGTATTTGGAGGGCCATAACTTGCCCACCCCTGAAATTGAATATGTAATTTCTCATCAAAAGCTGCACTACCTGAAGAAATAGCATCTATCACTCATGCAGCAAACAAGTAAAAACCGACATTTCCCACACACAGTTGTCTTGCATTGAGTGTGGCTCCTCAAACAGATGGAACTGTACGAACTCTCAAGTCATAGAAGAGTGACCAAGGATTAACATCATAATGCTAAACTGTTTTCTAGCTTAGTCAAAATGAAAATCACCTGGTTTGGACAGCACAGCAACCCATCCTTGTTTGTTACAGTAGATCAGTCCCCACTTCACCAAGGGTAGCTTGTTGTTGTTTCTTCCCCAAACAAACCTCCTGATGGTGTCCATGGCTATTCTAGAATTGTTGTCACCCATGGTGAGTTGTGTCATCCAAATCCAGATGATATAATCCACCATGGGTGAATTCCAACAGCCAACAAACTTTGGCAAGAACACCAAAAATACCTTGGCACTTTTGGCAAGCAGCTGCCAGGTTGAGTGCCACTGACAACCTCCAAAGTGCCTAAGTGGCACATTGGGATTTGTCAAAAGCTTTTGCCTTCACACAGGGTAAAGCAGTCATCCTTGCTGTTGGTTTGAGAGTAGATCTTGCCAGCTGCTGTGAAGGAAAGCTGGAACCCTGTTAGTAGTGGACAGGTCTACTCTTGAGCTACTGGAAAGGAGAGCCAGGAGGTGGAAGCTGGTGATCTGCTCTACTGTGACACAAAATGGATCACATACTCCCTGCCATGTCCATGTCCTGTTCAATGGATCTACTCTTAAGGCAAGAGGCAATTCACTTAGCAGTAGTACCTTGAGGGCAGGGTAGCATCACAAAGTGGATTTGACACTTCCTGTCCAAGAAATCATTCACAATTTTGGATGTAAGAGAAAGGAGACTTGCTCCTCCTCGTGGCACTCCCTGGAATACTGGCTGGAAGAAGACGGGGGAGGGAGGGAATGAGCAAAGTACCATGGTAAGTCCAGTCAACAGTTGGGCTCATCATAGATGCTTTATAAAACAACCAGCCCACTATGGCTTATTCTCAGGATGGCTTGTCATGTCATGTGAGCTCATCCTTTATCTGGTTGTGAAGACTTACGCCAATTTTCTTGTAGCACCATAGTGCAATACTATTTCAATAATTTTGTTTGTTGTTGTTAGTCGCGAAGTCGTGTCCGACCCATCGCAACCCCATGGACAACATTCCTCCAGGCCTTCCTGTCTTCCACTATCCCCGGGAGTCCACTCAAGCTCACACCAACTGCTTCAGTTACTCCAGTTAGCCACCTCATTCTCTGCCGTCCCCTTCTTCTTTTGCCATCTATTGTTCCCAGTATTAGGCTCTTCTCCAGGGAGTCCTTCCTTCACATTAGATAGCCAAAGTATTTGAGTTTCATCTTCAGTATCTGGCCCTCTAAAGAGCAATCAGGGTTGATCTCCTCTAGGACTGACCGGTTTGATCACCTTGCGGTCCAAGGGACTCGCAGGGGTCTCCTCCAGTACCACAGTTCAAAGGCCTCAATCCTTTTGCGCTCAGCCTTCCTTATGGTCTAGCTTTCGCAGCCATACATTGCAACTGGGAAAACCATAGCTTGACCATATGCACTTTTGTTGGCAGGGTGATTGCTTTTTACTATGCTGTCTAGATTTGTCATAGCTTTCCTCCCCAGGAGCAAGTGTCTTTTAATTTCTTGGCTGCAGTCCCTATCTACGGTGATCTTGGAGCCCAGGGAAATAAAATCTGTCACTACCTCCATTTCTTCCCCATCTATGTGCCAGGAAGTGATCTCTAGTTCCTCTCCCTCTTCAAAATCCTGCCTGTACTTCTGGTAGTTCTCGGTCCACATACTGCTGGAGCCTAGCTCGTAGGATTTTGAGCATAACTTTGCTAGCATGTGAAATGAGTGCCTGTTATTCTGGTTATCTTTTGGCTTCCTACTTTAGCATTCCAATCCCCCATGATGATACAGACATCATTTTTGGGTGTTAATTCTAGAAGGTGTTGTAGGCCTTCATAGAACCGGTCAACTTCAGCCTCTTCAGCACCAGTGGTTGGGGCATAGACTTGAACTATTGTGATGTTGAATGGTTTGCCTTGGATTCAAATTGAGATAATTCTGTTATTTTGGAGATTGTATCCCAGTACTGCTTTTCCTACTCTTTTATTGACTATGAGGGCTACTCCATTTCTTCTGAGGGATTCTTGCCCAAAGTAGTATACCTGATGGTCATCTGAATTAAATTCACCCATTCCTGTCCATTTTAGTTCACTGATTCCCAAGATGTCGATGTTCAGTCTTGTCATTTCTTGTTTGACCACATCCAGCTTGCCTTGATTCATGGATCTCACATTTCAGGTTCCTATGGAGTATAGATCTTTGCAGCATCGGACTTTCCTTTCACCACCAGATACATCTGCAACAGAGTGTCCTTTCGGCTTTGACCCAGTCGCTTCATTCTTTCCGGCGCTACTAGTACTAGCCCTCCAATCTTCCCCAGTAGCATATTGGACACCTTCTGGCCTGAGGGGCTCATCTTCCGGTGTCATATCTTTTTGCCTTTTGGTCCTGTCCGTGGGGTTTTCATGGCAAAGATACTGGAGTGAGTTGCCATTTCCTTCTCCAGTGGATCACGTTTTGTCAGAGCCCTCTGCTATGACCTGTCCATCTTGGGTGGCCCTGCACGGCATAGCTTATAGCTTCATTGAGCTACGCAAGCCCCTTCACCATGGCAAGGCAGTGATCCATGAAGGAGATTTCAATAATAGGCATACTCAACTGTGAGACTGTGTTTACTCATGCAATACAAGTTAAGCAACATACATATTTAACCATGGAAAGTCTAGTTGTGAACAGTGTTATGGCAGATGTATTGCTCAAAGAAGACTGTATGTTCTGTGAACTAGATAGACTCATTAGGCAAAGATCCCTTAGATTACTTAATCTGTAGGCTGCTATAGCTCACTTGTTAAGAGCAGTGTTACCCTGCTCATAAAAGTAGAACAAACTAGGTATGTTTTTATTATTTTAAGAACTCCTCTTAATGCATCCTGGCACAAGTAAGAGTACTTAGGCATATCTGAAATGCATTAAAAATGCAGTTAGCACTTCACTAACGGCAGTGAAATTTAATGTTACCTCTCATATGGTTGAGTGACCCTGGCCAGTCACTTCACGCTATTCCTAATGGAGACAGTAACCAAGCTGGCTCATTTTTGCAATCTCAAATGGTCTTATCGAGGAGTTCAAACTAACAGAATTGTGTGATTGTTTCTACTTTATAAAAGGAAAACTAGCTACAATTTTAGGATTTAAAGCTTCAACTTTCATTTTTTCTCAAGAGATTCACTGGTTTCACACACACAGCTATATATACTATAAATAAACTCTCAAACATGCCATGCTCACTTGAGAGATTTCAAATTATAGAAGACCTTTCAGTGAACCAGAGTTGAGTCTGAAACATAAGTGGAAAACCATGAGGTCCACTGAGTTTTAAAACTGGATTCTGGTTTTAGTGTTAAGTAATGTTTCCAGTTCTAATTCCTTCTGAGTATTAGAAAAATCTAATTTTGAAAACCTTGTTGTTTCCCTTAGGGGTGGCATTAACACAGTCTATATCCTATGGCAATGATTTTATTTGTAGGAAACTGAAGCCCTGTATTTTAGTATCATTGTAAAGATTTGAAACTAAGAACAATGAAAATAAACTGAAGGCATAGTATTGGGCTTTGCTTGAAGTAATGTATAATTAAATAAGTATTAAACACTACTGGGTTTAAAGATCTTTATAAATTGGTGCTCATTAAGACATAATCATTAATTTGATTGTGGTTCTCCATAGGCAAAACTTTATGCAGAAATAATAGCTTCAAAAATCCTCCAACAATTTGAGATAATAGGATTAATAGTGGGCTAGATTATGATTTTCTTAGTTTTGATTGTTATTTGAAACAAGTTCGTATCTTTAAATCATGATAGTTTTCAGTATATATTAGCAAAATAGTGAGCTAAATTAATGTTCCAATGAGATTGTCTGGTATTTGCCAGAAGAGTGTTTCTCAGAATTGATTTTTCATGGGCAACAGATTAATGATGGGAGGGAGCAGGGACGAAGACTGGCAAAGGTGCTGATTCAGTACATAAGCATTAATCACGTGCTTAAGAACAAAACAATGGGTGAAAGAAGCAGTGCTCTTGGGGCACACAGGAGGGTTTGGGACTGTGGCACAGCACTCTTTCTGGGTTTTTTTAGCCCAAAGAGAATGAGCATGTAAGGGAATCCATCCATGCCCCCTGAAATAATGTTTACCGAAGGCAAATGCAGCAGAGGCGCAAATCTTTTTTCGTTACACAAAGTGATTATATGCATCTTTCCTTGTCTGTTTCACTAATAGGGACTGTGTCCCTTGCTTTGTATGGCTTGTTTATTTTCTCCACATCCCAGTTGTACAAAGCTATTGCACTCTAAGTTAAAATAAATGCCAACATCTTATTAATAATTCTTATTTTTTAATTAGAAAGGCTTGAGAAAGAAAGGAGATGTGCCATTCACTTTTCTAGCAGAGTATAGCCTGTGACTAAGAGAAAAGGTTTTGGCTTTCTACCTTCAGAGGAATCATGTTAATTTATTAAAGCATGTGTATAGTTTCTCAGTCACTAGAACAGGATAGAATTCTTAACTCACTGGCATAGAAAAATGGGGAGAACCAATCTTATGACTCATTAGCCACCGTGGTCATGAGTATTGCAGTGCAGTAGTGAAAGAAGAGGAGGGTCATGTGATTCTAAATCAACACACTTGGAGATCAATGGATTATGAAGCAACATAGAATTGGACTGCAAATGTATTTCATTATACTTATAACTGAATAAAAATACAGAGATTAATCTTTTAAACATTTCTGCTAGCATATTACCTATGGGACTGAGTTTAATGAGTTCTCTGTTGGTAAACCAGTCTAATGATGAGGAGTGCTATTTCTCCTACCCTGAGATGTTCATAATTTCATATTGCAGCTAAATAAATGTTTGAGGGGTTGCCTGTGTGTATTTTCTGGTGCTGATTAAACATAGTTATTTTCCTTACATTCAGAATATTATTGCTGAACATGAAATTCGTAACATTTCCTGTGCTGCACAAGACCCTGAAGACCTCTCTACGTTTGCTTACATCACAAAAGACTTGAAGACAAATCACCATTACTGCCATGTGTTTACAGCCTTTGATGTGGTCAGTTTATACAGCATTTTCTAATTTATTGCTTTCTATTAGACATTTTCATAATGGGTACCTTAGAATGTGATGTAGCTGAGTAGTGGAAGTTACTTGAAATTAAAGTATAACTGGAGAATCAAGCCATTCAATCTTGTGATGCAGTTTCAGCTGTAATGAATGTCATTCAGGATTGAATACAGCTGTTTAAGTTGGTGGCTATCACTGCATCCTCTGGTAACTCGTTCTGCAGTTTATTTATGCATCCTGTGAAGCACTTCTTTTGGCTGTCATGAACCAATAAAGCCAAATCTATACCAGCATAGGATCAGTTACAATGCGTCATGTACAAATGCCACACATTTTCCTGATCGTAACATGAAGTGCTGAAGCAACATGGATTAGGTTGTACAGTGGTATCACATTATGTAGATAGGGAAACAATTTCTGGATTTAACTGGGTAGAATGTCCCCAGATCAAAACAGCTATCTATCTATCTATTTTATATTGACCTCTTTACCAAGAGTCCCAGGACGGTAATATTAGAATCATATCGAGACAAGTCAGTCAGAGATCAGCCAGGAATGTGCCAAAATGGGATTCTGTGTCTAGAATAGCAATTCTGTGTGTCAAAATAATTGTAAGAGGGAAGTAGAAACAAAATCTAGGAAACCAGTACTGGATTCTCAAATTAAACAATCAAACCGAATTGTGCAAGCAAAGTGTTCTACAGCATTTGCAGAATTCTGTGCACTCAGTTTGTCCTATTCCCATTAGACTTAATCATAAATGGAATTGAACCATCAGAATCAATAGAAATTAGTTTAGCCATATTAATTCAAACTCCATTGATTGAGAAGACTATGCCTAAGTAAACTTGGAACCTACTAAGGTTCAGCTGATGGCCCTACCTTGAACATTCTACATACCTTGTGTTTGTGTGGGGGTGGGGGTGGGGAGGGAAGAGAGATGAAGTATATATTCCCCGGGGTATTTGTACTATTAAGGTATTACTGTTTATACTAATTCTTATTGTTTTCAATAGCACTTTCCAGAGATAAATAACATTGCATTCTATGTTCCAGAGATAAACAACATTGCCTTTCCTCCAGTTCCATTTTATATGGTTGTATTTATATTGTATGTTAATCTTATTATGTTTTATGGTTTTGGTTGTTATTTTTATTTGTATTTTTATATTGCACTGTGAGCCACCCAGAGAGCCTCTGGCTATGGGGAGGCACACAAATGCAATAAATAAGTAAATGGCGCTTTATGAATCTGTGTTCAAACTAACTCATTTTAATGCTCCTGTTTATTGCTCTTTCAGAATTTAGCCTATGAAATAATTCTCACATTGGGACAGGCATTTGAAGTAGCCTACCAACTTGCACTTCAAGCTCGAAAAGGAGGCCATTCTTCAACCCTTCCTGAAAGCTTTGATAATAAGCCCACCAAACCAATCCCAAAACCACGTGTTAGCATTCGAAAATCTGTGGTGAGTAAGGGATGCAAATATACAAGATAAACCTGTTGCTCCTGACATTTTGATAGGAATTATGGTAAAAAGGCTATTGTTCTGAGAGATGCTGAAAGCCCTTTTCAAGCCTTTGCGGTCTTCTCCCTGCTTTACCCCTGCATGGAAACAAGCAAGCCCCTGCAGAGGACTATTACATATGTAATTTCATAATACCATCCAATAATGTAGGAAAAAAAATCATCAGCAACTGAAGATGGCTTCTTATGGAAGAGTTGTAGAACTCTCTTAATGCCAATGGAGGTAGCTTGCAGTGTTTTACTATCACACTGTAGTAAAATCCAGTAAATGCAGAGACAACCAATAAAACATTGCCTTCACATAACACAGTAGAAATGTAATAGATAGGCAAATGCCTGCTGGATTGACCTTATGTTTATCCACTGGTGAAAGGCAGCCAGAGCTTCATGTGTTTCACAGTTTTGGTGCAGGCACTGAGAAAGGCCTATTGCTTGGCCACTGTGGATCATGCCTTTACACTAACTGAGGCAGAGAGAAGGACCTTTCATCTTGATCTGAGAAGTCAGGCAGGACTGTATGAGAGGAGGCGAGCCTAAGACATTTAGGGTTTTAAAGGTAATCAGCAAACTTTGGACTATGCAAACTGGCAACCAGTGCAGCTGCTGCAGGATACAGGGTAATACAGAGTAAACAAGTGAATGATGTCTAGGGGCCCATTTTCAACCCTTGGACCTCTCGCATGGGCTGCACTAGGATTTGTTTGTCTTATTAAGGATTGGTGGCAAACCACACCATAGCATACAATAGTGCCAAAAGGATTCAGCTTAGTTTGGGGGCAAGCTCAGTTTGATTCATTTAGTATTCTGAAGCCACTATGGAACACCCTTTTGTTTATTCAAAGGCACTAGTGGGGTCCACACAAGGGTGCAGTAGGCTGATGTTGCCCAGCCTCTAGCATACCTGGGCATGCACCAACCAGCATCCTTACAGCTACGTTCAATTGCAGCCACCAATTGACGCTTCTCAAGACTCTTCAAAGGTAGCCCTATGCAGAGTGACTTGCAGTATCAAATCTGGATGTAAGTAAAGTGTAGGACACCGTAACCCAATGGCCAAACTGCCAAACAGCACTTTTTGACCACCTGCATGTACACAGTAGAATGATCACAAAACTGTTCCTCCTAATCTCAGGCCTGCCAAGCAGTCAGAAGGAAACCATGGACAAAGGTATTGAACACAGCCGAGAGGTCTAGTAGAAGCAACAGAAACATAGTTTTCTGTCCGTTTCCTAGCACCAATGGTCTAGCAAGTGACCAAAGTTGTCTTGGACCTAAAACCAGTACTGAAGACAAATTGAAATGTGACTAGCTAATTCTTTTTCAGCAACTTGCATAAAAGAAATGCCACTGTGTTCTCAAAACCCTTCCTAAAAGTGGGAACATGGCATAGTCCGAAGAGGGCTTTTTCAGCAAGTCTTACAACAGGCATCTTAAGACTAACTAGAACTACACCACTCTCTAAGGGGGCATCCACCATTTTCCCAAGCCTCAGGCAGCTTTAATCAGTTATGGTTAATATTAAGTGCAAAAATAGATGGTCTTACGATACTGTCCACATCTGCAGCCTTTAAAAGCTGAAATTCTCCTTGAAAGGAATGTCCTTAGGATGTGTTCTGTGCTATGTAAGCTGCAGCAGATTGAAGCATTTTTTTCTGCAAAGTATGTAGCAAAATCATCTCTTTGGATATTTTATCCTTCGTTTTCTCTGGCCCTGGATTTTTTGCCTACTCAAAACAGAGGCAGATGCGAGGAAGTCATTACTGCATTATCTAGCTATAGGGCTGTTATCATCAGCATAAGGTCCTTAATATGGCTCCAGTATGTGTTTTTTTTCTTCTGTTGTTGCTCTGGTTCATCTGAACATCCCTGCTGCTTCATCACCATGAGTTTATAGGACCTCTGGAAGCAAGGGGAGGATGATCTTTGATGGACCAGCCAGGGCCTTACCAGAATCACCAGGCAAGGGAGCAGAAAACTCTAATGGAACTGTCAGGAAGCCATTCAGAGCCATCTTATTCTAGAGGCAGATTTTTGGAATAGGTTCCCTACCCCTGTGAAGGTGAAGGGCTCCTGTTAGTTAAAGCCCACTGGGTAGAAGATTTGTCCTTGACAAAGGGAACCACACACTGCCATTCTTCTTATCTAGAACAAATATCAAATCTACAATGCGTCCACTTGTATGAATGGGGTCTGAGATCATGAGGGAAAGTCTCATAGTTCCCTTTGAGACATCTTGCTGAGCATTTCTAGCAAGATGGCCTCTGCATGGATGCTGTGGCTGCCCAGTACCATCAGGCCAGCTTCTGCATCAAGCAACAGATTCTGCATGGATAAGTTCTTCTTATTTACTGATCTGGCATTCAAAAGCACCACCTTCAGACAAGTGGAGAGGAATTGCTGCTGCAGCTGTCAGGACCTTGGCTGACAGATAACCTGAAAGGATGAGAGAATGGCGCCAAGTTATTCCCCTTCTCCTGTAAAGGTCAGTCCAACTGCAGTCATTTGATCATTTAACCACTACCTTTGTAATGGCTGCCAACTGATGCTCAGAAACATCTTTTCAAACTTACTACAAAATGTACTACATACTACCCCCTCCTCCCAGAGTACTGCAACAGAAGACTTTAAGAGCAGCCAGTATTGTTCTAATCTTACAAAAAAGGCTTCGTATTCCCTCTTCTTCTGTGAACCACATAAATAGAAAAGGGAAGACATTTTAAAGCCTCCACTTAATTCAGTCTTTGCCTAAAGTACCATTCCCATGGGATTTAGAGCAAAAAACAAAACCACACAAAAAAGCAAAGCCACCCACTAGTGATCTGCCTCTTCCTCGACGTTCACACTGGAATCCTGACAGGCAAAAGTAAAAAGAGGGGGGCCATCCACATCCTTAAAATAATGAATCAGCTCAAAGAATTAGAGCCATCTCTCAAAATCACCACCATACAGCAGATGATTAAAAATCTTTACAGGTTGGCACCCTTAACACATTGGACAGTCTCACTCTGTTACACAGCAGATAAAACTGATGGGTTGAAAGATGCCTCCCAACCAGCAGCATTCCCTCCAGTGCTGCCACTTTTTTCTAAAGATGTCTGGCTAGAAGATACAGAACAAGAGTCTTTTGCCACTTTCCCTTGAGCTTATGCCAAGGTCTTCTGGCCTAAGCAAGCCATAAATCTTATTTGTGGAAAAGGGAGAAATAAACTTGCTTGGCTGGGAGTCAGCTATCCTGGAGGGTCTTTGTCGGCTTCAGCTGTCAGCCCTATATGCAACAAGATAATAAACTAGAGGCAGTTTATTATCTTGTAGAAGAGGCAGTTACCAAACAAAACAAACTCCCCTGTGAATAGATATTAAACAAGCATTAGTGCTGTTCAGTCCATCACCTGAATATGGAGAGATCAAAACTGTGTAGGTGGAGAGGCTGCACATATGAGCCCTGCCTCCCACATATCCAAGTAAAGTTCCTTTATGTGTTCAGCACACAGATTTGGCTGGAAACACCTATAAGCTTCTGTGTGATTGAGAAGTAGGATTTAACTACCAGCTCCCTTACTAGATTACAGAGATTATAGTTACTTAAATGAGTTGCAGCAGCCAAGCAAACTGAATGGTAGGAGAAGTTAACACTTGATCCTCTGAGTGGTGTGCAAGCAGCTGTACTTCCAAACTGGAAAATTGGGGGCAGCATGCATTGGCTGGATTTAACCACTGCTTGTGAAACAGCTGATTGGGGAGCTTGTTTGATAAAGCCAAGTACTCGCACATTTGAACTGGGGCTATGGCATATCACAGAGAGAGAGAGAGAGGAGGAAGGGAGAGATCTTTGTAACCTCAAGTCCCCAAGCACAGGCTCTTTAGGCTACTGAGAACAGAACCGTATAAAAGCTGGAAACATTTGCTATTATATGTATTTAGCTGCAGATTTAACATAGCCACTTGTCTTGTTCTGCCAGCCCAGTAGTAGGAGCTGACTCTTTATAAGTGAAACGAGTCAATGCTCCCTTGGGTTATCATGACAAGACATAATATAGACTGCAGCCCCAGGAAAGCAATACATGGTACATGCTATGTGCATAATGCTGTGCCACTGTGACCCAGTTTGAGCGCGGTTTTAAAGTTCAGCAGCCAGAGTAGATAAAGCATTGCTGTGTTTCTTTTCATTTGTTTCAAAGCAGATAGATCCCACTGAACAAAAGACTCTTGCCAACCTACCATGGATTGTAGAACCAGGACAAGAAGCCAAAAGAGGGATAAATACCAAGTATGAAACCACAATATTCTGATGGTGAACTGTCCTCTGTTTCTTGTTGTGCCTTGCACTCAAAGCAGTCATAGCACAGCCTTTCCTTGACGGCAACTCTTCAGTCTAGTAGAGGGGAAGACTGCACTATATGAGTGGCCTTGAAACTAGCAAAAACATAACAATGGAAAAAATTAAAAGGCTGCTGGTCATTTCTGGTGATTGTTCTTCCTGCAGCACTGACAAAAGAATGACATGGGATGAAGACTTTCCAAGTACGGCCCACAAGAGGCGTGGGAGATTGTTTTCACGCACGCACTTCTCTTACGACTTCGCCACAGTGCTTTCTTTAATTTCTTATTCTAATGTTCTACTTTTACAAAGGTCTCTAACATTAATGCTGCTTAGTAAAACAACATTCAGTTGTAGGTTTTTTTTATTATTTCAGTCACAGCAGTTTTAAAATTGAATCAGACCCAGATTATTTAGTACAAACTTTGAGAAATGTCAATGAAAATCATGGGAGTTCTATATAAATTCTACTGCTTAATATATTTTAAAAAGTAGTAATAGCAAGACATTACTAATTTGCTATTTGCAGGTTTTATGTAAACTTCATGCCATTTAATTCTCTAGAGAAATTAGGTTCTGTATAGCAGTATGACAACAAATCAGAGTTTTATGAATGGCTTAAAAAAGAGGAAGTAATATAATAATGCATGAAAGTGCACCTTGTATTAAATATTTTTGTGGGAGAAAGGAGAACTATAAGAGTAAGTATGCATATTTATGATAAAGCAAGTCATTATGAAGAGAATTTGGATTTATTTTAAAGTTAAATAAACTGCTGCTGTACTGTTGCAACAGCGGCGACACTGAGGCATCAATACACTGGGTGCGTCACTTTATCTAGGAGTAAAACAGAAGCCGCCCAACAATTGCACTACAGGGACAAGCAACTGTACACAGTTTTTCAAGTTATTATAGCCATGTGTTTGAGTTTTTAACAATCTGAAAGATGGTTTTAATCAAAACTGGAAATTTTATCAAATTTTCTGTCTCAGAAAGCTGGTTTTAATGAAAAATGCAACTCAGTGGGTTTTTTCCTAAATAAAGAAAAAAAAATCCAAAGTAATACATTCTTTCCACAGAACAACCGGTTGAGCATTAGCTTGACATCTGACAATGAAATTTACTTAAAGTTTTCTTTGAAGTATTTTAATTTTTTAATGTCTTTGTGGAGTATTTGTATAACATGTATATTTCAGTGGAACTGAATGAATTAACACAGTAAAATTATCAATCATAGGCGAAAAAAATGACATTTTAATGTATATTCTATCCAGTCAAATTGTGAGTCATTTTGAACATCATTATAGAGATATTGATGAATAGTGTGGTTGACTTAATGTTTTTTATTATTCTTTCATACTTAACTAAAAGGTTTCAGTTACACTTAAATGAATTTTTAACAAAAATGATAACATAATTTGATTTAAAATTAAAAATTGTATACAATTTAGTTGAACTTAATCATAGCGCTAAATGACAAAAAGACCTTTTAATACAGTATTCAATTTACTTGAACCAATCAGCTCCTTGTACATATTCTGCCTATTCATTGTTGATATGTATGTAGTAGGCTGACAGTAAACACTGAAAAATATAGTACCAAAAGGAATATTGTATAGGAGAAAAGTAAATAGTAGCCTCACTGCAACAAATAATTCTATGTAAATATGCTTGGGCTTCCAGTTATAAATTTTGTAATTTTGGTCATTATTTATATCCTATAAAAGCACACAAAATAAATTGAAGTTGTACAGTCAGTACTGACTTACGCAGAATTTAGTAGCCACAATATTTAAGACTGATTGTTCTGAAATGATCACTGTATATGGGAAAACATAACGATCTGCTCCTGCAAACTTCATTGACACAATGGCTCATCTCACATAATGAGACTAATGGTGGCAAAAAGGCAGCAATTTACCTTTTGGGCCAATCCTAAAATTTGATGGACATCTAATGTCTGTCTTCACTGCAGTACAGCACACACAACTCCTAATCTAACCTATTATTGTTATAACTGTTATGACAGTTACAATAAATGTACATGATAGTTACAATCATCATGTGGCAGTTTACAATGTAAAAACAAAAAGACAGTTGGCACATCTTTAGGAGCTTAATCTAGAATTGCACATGGCAATTCAAGAAGATGAGGTAAAAGAATGTACAGATAAACTGCATGTATGTATAAATGTATAGCATTTTAAAGAGGACAAGAATGCTATGGAGAGCTTTTGAAGGTAAGGCCCTTGAATCTGTAGTAGTGGATAGGAGACATAGGAGTGGCAGGGATGTAAGAAGAGATGCTGCATGTTCTGAGTGCTAAGAGAAGCAAATGATTTTGGTAGCAGAATCCTGTAGAGAGGTGAGGGCCAAGGTATAATAAAGACAGGTCAGAGACTGGAAAATTGAACATGTAGTTTCCACCACAGCAGCTGATGGAGAGGGCTATATTTTCAAAGTGCTGCCTAGCAAAAATTGTCAGGACTAGGTGACAGGCTGAATGTGGGAAGTACAGGAGAGCAATCAGTAAAACAGCCAGTGCTTCCATGCCTGTACCACAGTGAATGGTATGTTGTCGATAGATACAAAATGCATTATGAGAGAAAAGCTTAGGAGGAAAGAGATCACCTATCAAGTTTCAGACAATGATGACCCATAGTCCAGGCAGGCAGACTTTCGGATTTGTTGTAAGGTAGACTCGGGAGTTTTCAGCATATAATTGCTAGTGAAAGCCATGGGATCTAATGAGGTCCTCTGTAGAGGGAGAGAGAAAGCATAGCAAACAGTCAAGAGCAGAAACCTTCAGGAGAGAGGAAGTGCTTCTATCTATGGAATCACTTAATGAAAATTTAGACTTGTAGGACCAAGTTGAGGAGATGCACAAAAAGTAATCATGCAGAAAAGGGTGATCCAATTCATCAAAGGGAACAAAAAGGTCGGAAGGGATGAGGACAATTGAAATCTTTGGACTGAGCAGGAAGAAGGCTGTCAGATCAATATGGTATAGAGAAAGGTCAGATAGGTCAAAATTCTGATTAGGGGATTTCCCAAAAGATTTGTGGGAAAGAAACAGCATTAAGCTTCAGGAATTTGGAGATCAAGAGAAGAATGGAAATTGGATGATAGAAATGCAGGATGGCAGCAAATTCTGCATGAAAATGCAGCAACTAGAGGGAAGAATGTTGGAAGTAAGAAGAAAAAAAGGCAATTGTTCCCACAAACTGCTGGTTGCATTCCAGAAAATCTGGAATTGAAAAACGAAGCACATTTCAGTGTTGAGAAAATGGGCTAGGTCAAAATTCTGAGATGCACGGAGAGGAGGCGGTGATAATCTCAATGCCCGACGCTTCACTGTTCCAGAGAATGGCCAAGATGTACAACCAGTGAGAGGGTCCCTGAAGAGAAGGAACTCCCAGACCAAACCAGCCCCCGGCCCCTGTGCTCGACCCTGTGGGGAGACATCAGCAGATTCAGGAGGCCCAGTTGAATGAGCAGTGCACAAGAGGAGGTGTGCTCACTTTTAGAGAGCCCCTCCCAAGGAAAAGAAGTGCAGGCAAGTTCACAAGGAGAGCTCTTGAAGGTAAACACTAGATTGGATTCAACGAACCCAGAGATCCATTCTGAATTATTTGTACTGGGGAGCAATAAAGTTGCAAGGAAAATGGTCTGTGGGTGATGATTGTTTGAAGGTGGAACCTCAGCTGATGACAAAGGGGGGAATAAAGGAGGTGGTTTCATGATGTAAATGATGGGTAGAAAATAATGTATTGATGGGTAGAAAAAGAAACTGGATTGTCAAATCATCAAGGGATCTATCAGGAAAAGACAGAAATATAGAAGAGGAGAGAAAGCTAGAAAATGGAAGAGAAGAATATTACTGAAGGTGTGGATAACAATGTGAATACAGACTGTAGAGGTGGTAGGGCAGGTTCTATTGGGCAGAAATCGATATTTATCAGGGTGAAATTCTAGTATAACGTTGACACCCAAATGGCAGCATCCAAATTTTTCAGTACTGCGCCAGCCAGAGGGTTAAAAAAATACATTTATATCCTGCCTTGTTTCCTCTTGCAGGGAACCCAAAGCAGCTCCATTTTTTTACAGTGATGAGGTTTTACAGAATAAACTTGCCATAAAAGTTAAACAATGAAAAGTTTAGTTTGCTGAAAAGCAGGGAAGAAGCTTTTGGAATATGACAGAGCATCCTAGAACAAGATCTAACATCAAAGGAGTATGTATCATTACTTGCTCAGTTGTGTATCAGGATGTAAATTGGGCAGATAATTTAGCACATAGCAAATAAACAGGGAGATGGTGTTTAGCAAAGTCTCAGAAAAAATGAAACTAACAAGCAACTTACCATTGCAGGGCAGCAAATTTCATGATCCTCTTAAATACGGTTGGAAAGATTTATTTTTGAAAAGTTCACTCATTTTCCTCAGCAGTGTTTGACATCTCAGGTATTTTCATTCAAAGCAACTTAAATACAAAAAACAGCCTGAAAGTAAGTCTGCTACAATCAAAGTCCTGTTGCAACTTAATCCGATGATAAACTGGGCATTTCCTCTGGACAGCTCAAACCCACGTGCCATGTAAATTAGCTGAACTCTGCTTTGGATTCCTGCCATTAAGTTCAGCTTGAATTGTTACTGTACCGCAGGCTGTGCATGTGCCACACAATCTGTCTCCAGGGTATAAGCGGAGGTGGAGAGAGAGACAGCAATCCATCACTGAGCTTAAGAATAAATGCCGTATGGAATCTATACCATCTAAGAATCTACATAATGCTGTTGTATAGACAAAAGAGAACTATGCCTAACCATTTCAGAAGTGGCTATAAACTAGGCTATTTCTGGTTTGGGTTCACATGTGTTCAGTCTCAAATTTATACTCAAATTTATCTATCTCAAGTAAACAATTTTTTAATATTCCCCAACATAAAAATTTAATAAGCAATTTCCCTGAATATATGAGCTTTTGTATGTAGCATCCCTTACTACATACATTCTGGTACACAGTTTTCTTGGCTATATGCATTTTCATATGATACTTTCCTTA